TCTACTATATACACTTAACCTACTATGTACAAATTGCTTATTAAAGCATGTTCAGAAAGATTGCATTTTTGAATAAATTTAGTTGTCATATCATCAATTTTGGAATCTACTTTGGGAATTTCTGCCTCTTGATGGAGGTCTGCTATTCTTGTGTCGAATGGACGATCTAGGATCATCCTCAACACTCTATTCTGTGCAACCTGGATTTTGTTCCTGTGGGTCTGAGCGCACGATTCCCACACCGGGGCGGCATAGAAGATCGCGGGGGCTATGATCTGTTTGTAAACAGCCAGTTTGTTTTGCCTTGAGAGGCGGGATCTGCGGTAAATGAGCGGATACAAACACCTAACCAAGGCGGAGCACTTAACTAGGGTTTTCTCTATGTGCGAGCGGAACAGGAGCTTCTCATCGAACAACATCCCGAGATAAGTAACATCAGTGGACCACTCGACCCTTGTACCATCCATCATTACGGTACAGGAGGGAGACGGTTTAAGTTTTAATGATTGTCTGTGAAGGAACATGATCGCTTGGGTTTTCGAGGCGTTGATTTTGATTTTCCACGTGGTGGCATAATCAGTAAAGGTGTCAAGGCATCGTTGGAGCTTGTTCGTAATTTCACGAGGCATCCTACCCTTGACGGCTATCGCGGTGTCATCTGCAAACAGAAAGAACACGCAACCGTCTCCTAGAGGAGGGATGTCCGACGTGTAGATGCTGTAAAGCAGTGGTCCCAGCAGACTCCCTTGCGGAACACCTGCTGGGATCGGAAATTGTCCCGAAAGGGAACTATTCAACGACACCCTGAACGACCTTTGCTGGAGATAGTTACGGGTGATTTTCACAAGGTATGGTGGAAAGTTGGAGTTACAAAGCTTGTATATAAGTCCGTCGTGCCAGACATTGTCAAACGCCTTTTCGACGTCTAACAAGGCCATGGCTGTGGACTTGGATACAGCTTTGTTACTTCGGATGTTATTCATCACCCGTACTAGCTGATGATTGGTGGAGTGCCCCTTTCTGAATCCAAACTGTTCCGGAAGGAGAATGTTGCTTTCCTCGACAAACTTGAGCAAACGATTGAGAATGAGTTTCTCGAACAATTTGCTCAGCGCTGAAAGGAGGCTGATTGGTCTGTAGCTTGAAGCTAGCGTTGGGTCCTTCCCGGGTTTGCGGATAGGTATGATTTTCGCTGTCTTCCAGATACTTGGAAAGTAGTGCAGTTCCAAGCATCTGTTGAAGACAGCAGCCAGCAGAGAGTGAACCTTCATGCTGAGATTTTTCAACACTAGGTTGAATATTCCGTCAAACCCGGGGGCCTTCATGTTTTTGGTGCATTTCAGCGCTGAGCAAATCTGTTCCACTGTGATTCTATCCTCCGGAGGGATTGCACAAGGGGAGGAATCAAGGTTGAGTACGCATTGCTCAACCTGAACTTCGAGCGGACTTTGGATGTTGGAGCCAAGCATGTGCGATTTGGCAATATGCTCACCAATCGCATTTGCTTTCTCCTGAGGGGTAATTATGAGCCGATCGTCATCATTTTCATCTTTTAGTGGCGGAATGGGTTTAGGGTGCGTCTTTAAGACCTTGGCAACTTTCCAGAATGGTCTGGAGCGGTCGTCCAGATTCTGGACAAGCCGCCCGAAACTTTCGTTCCGGAGTGAGACCATTCTGGAAGCAATCTCCTTGTTCAGATTGGCCATTTCACGTTTCCTCGCTAGATCTCCAGTCCTCTGAAACTGGCGTCTACGAACATTTCTCAGGCGAATTAAGAGTTGGGTGTGGGAATCAATGGCAATAAACTTACCCCTCACTGGAACTCGTCGGACGCACGCCTCGTCAGCCACGGTTATGGCTTGGTGGAGTACTTCCAACGCTCGGTCGATGTCCTCCACGGAGTCAAGCGGCGGGTTGTCGATGATGTGCCTGTCTACCACGCGTCCAAACTGGGCCCAGTTTACGCGATGGTAGTCCTTGCGCAGGCTTGGAGCAGCAGCTACGTTGTATCCCAGTTCAGCCACCACCGGTTGATGGTCGGAGCTGAGTTCGTTTAAGGCTACCGGCTTGGACAAGCCGGTATTTGAAAGAAACAGGTCTAGCGTCGATGGGTTGCCTGCCGGTGAGATGAATGTTGGCTCGTCCGAGAACCAAACGGAGTACAGCCCATGCTGCGAATGGTCGAACAGCAGACGACCGTTCTGGTTCTGCTGGTAGTTCCGCCATGCCTCATGACGAGCATTCAGATCTCCTCCAACAACGAAGCGGGAACCGGTACGGGTGATGGTGGACAGGTCCTTCTTAAATTTAGCCGCTAGTCCACTACTGGCGGCACACTGTCGAGGGCAGTAGACGGCGATGAGCTGGACGTATCCAGTCGACGACTCCACCTCCACACCAAGGGCCTCGATGATAGAGGTGCGGATATGGGACAGAGTGTGGTATTTTATTCCTTTCTTGACGACGACCGCAACACCACCCCCCCTGGAGGTGGTGCGATCAAGCCGGATAATGTTGTGGTCAGGCAACCAGAAGCTGTCGCCGGACTTTAGATGGGTCTCGGTTAGAAGGCCCACGTCGATGCTGTGCTTGCGGAGGAAGTCGGCAAGCTCAATCTCTTTTGCTCTTACAGAGCAAGCATTCCAGGTGACGATAGTTAGCGGTTTAGACGCCATACTGGATGATGAACTTACCGAGCACCTGGATCTGTTCGGGCTTATTGCGGCACTTACGAAGAGCCCCGGACATGTTGACGAAAATTTCCATCAGTTCATCCGCTGAGAACAGATCGGGGTTGTTGTTTTGCGCTGTTGGTTGTCTCCAGAATCCAGGGGGGGATGGAGAGCTTTGGCCAGCAAAATCACCGGAAGCTTCTTGAGGGGGGGCGGGTTGCACCCGCGAATTCGCTTGCCTTTGCTGGGGAGCACGAAGAGGCGGAAAATCCTCCGTCCTGAATGCTGGGGTTTTGTCCTTCTTGCGTCCTGGTTGATTGTTGCTTGACGCCTGCTTTCGGATGCGTTTGAAGTCCTCGCGTTTGGAGCACAGTCTGTCGGAACCTTGATGTGCACCACCACAGTTAGCGCATTTTATCGCCACGGCTCCATCCGCAGGGCAGTTGGAAGTGGCGTGTTCTTGTGCGCAGTTGCTGCAGCGTGGCTTGATGTTGCAGTTGCGGGTACCGTGTCCAAAATTGAGGCACCTCATACACTGCGTTACGTCACGATGGCCGCCACGGTATGGCTCCCACCGTACGATGATGGAGCAGATTGATCGGATGGCTTGTAGCGCATTGAGCGTCACCGTCCCTTTCTGGAAGTGCACCAGGAAAAGACAATCCGGGTACGTCTTCACGTTTTCGTCTCTCCTTGTCATTCGGAAGACAGCGATTGGGGCAAGCTTGTACCGGTTGATTTCAGCTTCGACCATCTTGGGGTCGAAGTTTGGTAGACCCCTGATGACTACCTTGAAGGGCTTCTCACCGGGGATGTCGTGCGTGAAGAATTCCGCCTTGGTATCCTTCAGATATTTCACGGCCACTTCGTACTCCGCTTTTGTTCGGAGCATCACCTTGGTGCCGATCCTGCCGAGCTTAAACTCAGCTGCAACGCCCAGCGATGAAAGATCGCCAATCAGCGTGTTGAGTGGTACTTGCTTCACCACCAGTGGAGGAAGCTTGATTTTCACCGCACTCGGGGTGGCAGCAGTTTCGTTGTCGACGGCGTCGCCGAAATCACCAATGACGCTGACGTTCGTCGCGGTGGCATCGTCCCGTCCACTCGCACCATCGGACTGGCCTCGATTTTTCTTCCTCTTCTTTGACCGCTTCACCGTGGCTGAGGTGGTATTCCCTACATCGGTGGGAAGAGTAGCGTACCTATTCGAAATAGGTACACTCAAGCTACCCTCACCGCTGTTCTTCTTCTCCGTTTTCTCTCGGAGCCTGCTCCGGGAGCGCTGTCTTCCCATCACACGAAGCGACCGACACTACTGACGACGCGATTAAACTGCGAATGTTTGGAACAAACTAGAAACTTTAGAACAACTCGACAGAGCGAGCAAAGACCGAACTGTACTGCTTGACGTACAAGCAGAGAATGCTGAGAGCACACTGTGGAATCGATGTAGGTGAAGTTTGGTGCCGGTACTTTTATACCTACCGACTCGATCGAGAGTGATCGAGCCGGGAGGATATTCCTAGGTGATGTAGCTGCTTGGATATTCCTAGGTGATGTAGCTGCTTGTGTATTCCTGGAGTGTAGAGCGAAATACAATTCTGTGCGGCGTGTGGGTACAATACATTTAGATTTCTGCTTGTTCTGTGTCGCTTGTGCAGTGGTATCTCGGACCATCGCGTTGTCCGCGACATACCGGCCACCATGAAAAATGTGTTTCATTAAATTTAACAATAAATTCACTTCTTAACTAATACTTCACAATCAATCATCTGGGTCGTCAGGGCCACCAGGCACTTCGCCGGAAGTGGAGGTGGAACTTGCGTCATCGTCGATGGGAAGTAGGCAGATCTTTACGATCGGTCGGTCGAAGACTGCGCCGGATGCCAGTCTGACGGTCACCACACGGACGAGACCATCGGCGCCGGGATGGACGTTTTCGATTCGACCCATGCTCCACCTGAGCGGTGGTAGGTTGTCCTCCTTCAGGAGTACCAGCTTGCCGACCAGAACATTCGGCTGCCGGTAGTAGTGCTTCGTACGCTGCTGCAGTTGATGAAGGTAGTCCGTCGACCAGAGTTTCCAAAAGGTTTGGGTTCTGCGCTGCACCTCCTGCCAAAGCGAAAGTCGGTTGTTGGGAACTTGGGCAAGGTCGGGCTCCGGGATTGATTGGAGAGCTGATCCGACCAGAAAGTGTCCCGGTGTGAGGGCTTCCGTGTCACTTGGGTCTTCAGATAGGGCGATCAGTGGCCGAGAGTTGAGACAGCTCTCTATCTGGCAGAGGATGGTACACATTACATCGCTTGACAGGGATTTCAAGCCGACGACTCACCGAAAGTGATGCTTGAAAGCCTTGACTGCGGCCTCCCAAAGGCCGCCGAATGTCGGAGCGTTCGCGGGGATGAAGTTGAACTGGATGGATGATTCAGCGCAGAACGATGCTATCTTCAGTCGTAGTTGTTGGTCGTTGAGTTGCTTGCAGAGGTCTCGGAGTTCCCTGTCTGCGCCCTTGAAGTTGGTGGCATTGTCACAGAACAGAGCGATTGGCTTGCCTCGCCGTGCAACGAACCGTTTCAACGTTGCGTTGAAGGTTTCGGAGCTGTGATCGCCAACCAATTCAAGGTGTACGGCCTTCGTAGCCATACATACGAATACAGCGACGTATGCTCGGATCGGTGGAGCTGGTTTCGTTCGACGTACTGGTACCTTCAGCCAAACGGGACCACAGAAGTCAACGCCCGTGTTGAGGAACGCACGGGTCGGAGTGATGCGAACTTTCGGAAGTTGGCCCATCAGCTGGTGTTCTGCTTGTGGTCGTGTGCGGTAACAACGCAAGCAGGATTTGACGTGTCTCCGTGCCAGGTTACGGAGGTTTAATGGCCAATATTGTTCACGGATGTGTGCGATCATCGCACGCGGTCCAGCGTGGAGAAGCTGCTTGTGCACCGAATCAACGAGCAGTGAAGTGAACGGATGCGCTGCAGGCAAAAGCATTGGATGCTTGCGCGTGAACGAGTATGAAGAGTGGTTCAGCCGGCCACCGACCAGAAGTACATCATCGTGGATGAAGGGATTCAAGGTACGTAATGGGGATTTCTTGAGATCCGCTTCGCATCTGGCCTGAAGCATAGCGATTTCTTGGCTGAAGCACTCATTTTGCACAACTTTCACAAGGCCTTCTTGTGCTTGAAGGAGTTCTGCTGAGGTAAGGTACGGAATAGATTGTAGGTGGAATCCAGCGAGCTTGGCCCGACAGTACCGCACAAATCTGCGGCAATATGCAGCGATGCGGGTGAGTCTCGTTAGTGACGAGTAGCGGGTGAACAGTGTGCGGTCGGGAGCTTCGGTGGATCGAGTGACGGCTGCAAGCGTACGAAGCTTCACCTCGAGAACTTCGGGAGGAAATTCACAGGCGTCTTGGACTGGAAACATACTTGGCCACTCCGCTGGATCGGACGTTAACCACGGTGGACCCTTCCACCATAGTGCGTTGTTGACGAGCTCACAGGGATCGACACCCCTCGAGATGAGATCGGCCGGGTTCTCCAGACCGGCGACGTGATTCCAAGTGCCTCCTTCAGTGAGTCGCTGCACCTCCGCGACACGATTTGCCACGAAAGTGTTGTAGTTGGACGGTGGGTTGTACAGCCAGTGGAGAGTGATTGAAGAGTCAGACCAAAAATAAGCATTAGCATTTATGTTGAGGCTTAACATAACAGTTTGGTACAGTTGGCTGAGGATGACAGCAGAGCAGAGCTCTAGACGGGGAATAAGGTTTGGATAGAAGATACTCGGGATTTGGCGGTTAGGAGACGGGTTGTGACGACACCACTTCTTCCGACACTTCTCAAGTAGATGCATGCTCCGTAAGCATTTTGAGATGTATCGCAAAACCCATGAAGTTGCACGTTGTCTCCGGCGCCTGGAGCTTTGACCAAACGAGAGATGGAAAATGTTCCTAGAGCAGCCAGACCAAGTCTGTAGTCTTCCCACACGGTACAGAGTGCATTGGGAAGCTCTTCGTCCCAGCTTAGTTTCAACTTCCAAAGTTGTTGGACAAACACTTTGGCTGTGATGATCACCGGACCCAAGATACCCAATGGGTCGAAGAGTTTGGACATCTCGGAGACCAGGATTCGTTTCGTGAACGGATTATCAGATAATCGCTCAGGAACTTTGAACCGGAAGGTATCCGATTCAGGGTGCCACAGCAGACCGAGTGTGCTGACGGAGCCTTGGATGTCATCAACTGCTACAATCGGCCTATCATCCTTCAGGTTGTCCGGGATGTGTGACAACGCTTCGGACGAATTCGACGACCACTTTCGAAGTTCGAACCCTGCGGACGCAAGGATGCTCTGCACTCCAGAATGCAGCTGCGTTGCTTCTTCCACAGTGTCAGCACCGCTGAGGAAATCGTCCACGTAGAAAGCCTTACCGATTCGTGCTGCAGCATCGGTTTCGCTCGCCGAGTGATCGTAGGACAATTGCTGTAGACACCGAGTAGCTAGATACGGCGCACATGCGGTGCCGTATGTTACCGTGGTCAGCTCGTAGGGATGGACGTGTGAATCAGTCCTGCTTTGCCAGTAAACGAGCTGGAGACGCCTATCGTCAGGATGTACCCTCATCTGGCGATATATCTTGGTTACATCTGCAACTAAAGCCACTTCGTACATGCAGAACCTGATGACGATAGCATATAATGCATCCTGAACAGTCGGTCCCACCATAAGGCAATCATTGAGAGAGATTCCCGTAGAAGACTTGCTGGACCCATCGAAAACCACTCTGCACTTAGTGTGTGCCTACAAGATTCTGTCACAGGTGTGCCGATGGATGTGCTCAAGCTGTGCCGAAAATACTTTCAGCACACTGTGCTGAGTGACTTACTCCTTGTGGAGTGATGCCAAATATAATATAATATGGGCCATTGATAACACACTGATATGTTTTTACACGAAAATGTGTAATGGTGTATGTGACTTTACTCCTCAACCATAACCGTTATTCTCCATGTACAGTGCGATGACACTTGAGTAAAGTAGTAGTAGTGAGTTAGCAAAGCTGACTGAAATTACAATGCACTATTTATTTACCATTATTTATAAACGGATGATGGATCTTATGGTTGCTGCAACCGGAAAGGATTAAGAAATTTGAAATTATTCAGCTGATGGTATATTTCTTTTCAGGCAGCCCTTATCAAACGAGCAACAGCATCGTCTTTAGATTGAGATTCCGATTATTCATCCCACCCATCAAAGCATAATTTTAAAGTAATTTTACTAAAATACTCTCTCATCACGCACCAGCAGCAGCAGCAGCAAAAACTGAGTGGCTAATCCCATGTTGTCGCGTCGTTCCAACGCCATTTCCCTGCCTGAGCCCAACAATTACGGATCAACAAAGCGACAAAAGAGTAATTAACATTTAAACAACCTTGTTTGTCGCCCGGTGCCCATCACGGTACGTAAATTTCCACTGTGAGAACAGCCGAAAGAGGGAGGAAAAGCAGAAAAATAACGGTAAAAGGCCAGGGACAAATTCCGGAAAATGTGGAACACAAAAAGTCTAATGGTCGATAGAGGAAATAAAAAAGGACCTCCAACAACGGGGTAGACTGAGGCTGGACATCAACAACAACAAAATCAGTGGTGGTGCTGCGGGTGGTGGAACATAAATTCTACAATTAAAATGAAATTTTCACTTCCCATTCACTGCCTGCGTGAGCGTGAGTAAAAAGGTTTCACCGTTTGAGTGGGTGCCGAAGTAGGCGTTCAGGGGGAAAAAAGGTTTTTGTCCGTTTGCTATTGACAGTCCCAGTTGGCGTCGTCGTCGGTGGCAACAGCTGTGCGGTATTGTTTGTATGAAATGAGTGTGTGTGTGTGTGAGAGTAAACGTGTAAAAGTTGGGTTTTGTCTTTGTCGTGTTTTATTTTCCAGATGACGACGGTGAGAACGATAATTAATTGATTCTACAGGTGGTCCCCGGTGAAGTTATTGAAGCTACTCTAATATTTTAAATTGAAATTGAAATTGCAATGCAATTATCCGAAAAGCCATTTTCCAGGACAATCCAGCTTACTGGCGTGCCTAGAGGTGTAGGAAACTTTGTTTTACCGTTAATCCCATCTATTCGAAAAAACCATTTACACTTGTAATTAAACTGTGGGAAAATTATGCCAAACTTGGGCAAGAGAAAATTATAGCCGTACCGCTTCTCTAACCGACTTTTTCGTGTTAAATGGAAGTTGTTCGCTTTTCGAGGGAAAGTTTTATTATTCCCTCTTCGGAGGAGCACTTTTCCAGAGCCAAGCCAAGGATGAGGCACAGGAAAAACTTGTCCTGAAATCAGACAAGTCGAAAGTTTTAAGTAAAATCCCCCTCGCAGCGCACTTCCCTCTGCTACCCCCTTTGGCGGTGATGGCATGTGAGTGTATAACTTAAAATTTTCACCCGAATTTTTCGCTCAAGTAGGCTACGACAACGAGCTATCCCGTTGAAATCTAGCATGTTTCTACAGTGGAATTTCTCAGCCTACCTCATCGCAATCCGACCCCGAAAAGTGCACAATGATCATGACGAGGCACGGCGTGAAAAGATTAAGTTTTTCGAAACAAGCACTTTCATCGTCATGCCAGCCACGGGAATGAAACTTCCTGTCGCGCGAGGGAAAGCCATTACTTGGTCCTGGAGTTTTTCAGGCGTGAAATGCAGGTCTTGTCCTTCCCCAAAGGGAACGTCAAATGGTTTTCTACGTTAAATTGGTTACGGTAATGGTTTCTTGTCTGGAGGGTCTTGTTGTTGGGGTTCTAGAAATTTCCCCAATGCCAGTTTCTAATTGGGTAAGGTTTCAAACGGGAATGGGCAAACATTCGAGCAACTTCCTCTGCCACACCCCCACCCTTGGAAAACATTCTTTACACTTTTCACTTTGTTTGTGTACTTCATGAAAATCCAAGCACCAGAAAACAATTCCACTCGTGCAAGTGATTCAAAGATTACTCAAACAGTAAGTAACCTAACCTCTCTCATCGACTGACGTGTTCCAACTGCCTTGTTGAATGCTGCCACCATCATCACCAGCATAGAAGCAAGTTAAAAAAAAACACAACAGTAGAACATTTCAATTAATATTTCAAACAACACATAATGAAGTTGTTTCCGCAGTACCCCCCCAACTCGCGGATCGCTGTGTACACCGATAAGCTGTGTGAAGAAGGACGACTTCCCTGTGGGTCGTCATTTTTCTTTCCTTGCCGCTGCAATCACACACACATCCGACTGGTTGTACCATTAGCTCCCTCTACCTCAGCAGCCTAGTCAGCGCCTACTGCGCGCGTGAACTTTGGATTATGTACTCTGTTGACGACGATGACGGTCCAAGCTGGTGGAAAAAATAGCGGAACACAGCAAGTGTTCGACGAGGAAATTTGCTTATTAACGTCACGTACAATCCGACGAGGCTTTACACGTAGTTTTTGACATGTTTTCATGCTGGTAACGGGAGGGGGTGGTGAACGGGAAAGGGGGAGTTTGTTTTACCGAGGTTGAACAAGGGAGAGGGTGGATTGGTAGACGAGAGAAATATTTTCTTCCACGATTTATTTGCGCTCTTTCCGGCAACATGAATCGAGTAGGAAGTTGAAAATTCAAATTTTTCCAATAAAAAGCAATGAAGGCGAACTTTGTGCTTACCAGTTGTGAGCAATATTTATTTGAAAAGTTATCGATCGATAAAAAATGAGTAGTTCCAATCTTTCCGATATGATCTTAAATGATAAAATTGTTGTAATTGTGTAACATGGAAAAAGTGTTTAACTGGCTACTTAGCTTATGGAATATTTTATATGTTTAACCGCCCTTTCACGCTAACTGACGAATCGATTTCGAGACAACCAGAAGTCAGATAACAATGTACATACAGTATCGTAAATTGTTACAGTTTAAGTCAACATCGCATATAAGTATGACATACATCGTATTATGTTTAAATTAAATCGTATAGAATGCAAATCAAATGCAATCAAATGCAAGTTATCAAGTTTTGGGTTTTCGCTCAATACTCCTATGCGTCGTGACGAGAGGATGACCATGCGTCGTGACGAGAGGATGACGATTACTGACATTTTATGAATCCCGGGATTCGGAAATAGGGGAAATGGCTCTTATGTTGGCCTATGGATCTAAGATTGGGCCCATCGCTAAAAGTCTGCTATTTATAAATTTTTATCTAGATGAACGCGTCATTGGGAAGGTACTAATGGATATTTTTGGTCGCTATTGAAAATTTAGTCGATTGATGAATGTATGTATGGGCCCAAATTAGGGACATTTAGGCCGACATTACATACATTACCCCTACAACATTAGACTTCCCCGGCAATACAAACTAAAAAAAAAAACAATTTAAATTAATTTTTATTTTATCGCTGATTAGATAGCAACTACAAGATCAACTTTTAATCCTTGCTTCAAGTTAAAACAGTC